AAACCTTCAGATCTTTTCCCTGGGCCCTGTTCTCGAAATAACTTTCCCACTGGGTCTGTTCTCAGAGCAACTGTTAGTTGGTAGTAATATTGCCAATACCAGTTATAGTGAACCTCACTGGAGCAGAGTCCTGAGACCTCACTCAGATTCTCCCACCATTCAATCAAGTTGACTCTGCCCAGTACACTGATCTCCTCCTCTGAGGCCAGACTTCTACAACAGTTCTTTTTTGAATGAATTTTCTCTTTTTTTTTCCCAAAGATTTATTTATTTATGCACACAAGGACAGGGGTGCAGGCCAGAGGTGTGGGGGTGAGAGGATTCACCAGAGACAGAGTGGGGAACAGAACAGGCAGACTGTTGAGGGGAGCAGCGGGCAAGTCAGGAGGGGTCTGCTGCACCATGTGGGTCACCTCCCTGGCCGGGGATCAAACTCGTGGTGCAGTGGCTGTGGATGGCTTCATAGTGCTGTCTCTTAACCCCTTGTGCCATCAGGGAGGCCCCTCTACAACAGTTCTTAAAATAACAAATGAATTTGGTAAATGACTCTGGCCAGGCAAACACATACACACATTTTTTGATGAGCAGAAATACACCCAAAGGCTTCTCTTAGATTTCTCTTGTCAACAGTAAACACTCAATGTTTTTTTTTTTTAGCCAGAAGAAAATGGAGCATGTCTTGGCTCACTGGAAGGTAGAAGAAATCAGACAATTCCTACCACTGAATCAAATGACCAGAACTGGAAGGATAGTGAGATGTCATCATATCCATGCCCTTCTAGGTCAGACAGAATGATCCTCAAGATACCCCATCAATAAGTGGAATTTATTTAATCCCTTGGGCAATCTAATCCTATCTCAATCCCTACCATTATTTATTTATTTATTTATTTATTTATTTATTTATTTATGCAAGTACTGGGTACAGTCAGAAGCGCGGGAGGGTGAGAGAATTCACCAGAGCCAAAGCAGGGAGCAGAGCAGGCAGAAGGACCGAAGTACACTGCTGAGGGGAGCAGCGGGCAGCAGGAGAGGTCTGCGCGCCATGTGGGACCCTTCTCTGGTGGTCGGGAACAGACGGAGAACAGCCGGGGATTAAACCGGCGCTGCAGAGGCTACGACCATTATTTATTTTATAAATAACTTAATCTTTCCTGTTATAATTTACATCCTTTTCTCCAGTTCTGACTTCAGGAGAAATGAAGAATAGATGTGCACATAGTTTTTAATAAAAAGGTTCTTTTTAAGTCACTGTTCATCTGTCATTGATGCAGGTTGCTTTTTCTTAGCTTTCTGCTTTGCTGTTCTTGACCTATATTTCTGAATTCAGACAGCCCTGTTTTTTAATCTGTGAATAGATGAAGATTGAAAGTTATATTCAGTTAGTATGACTGGAATAGCCTGGCTTAGAGTTTACAATCCTGCCAACAAGTAGTCCTTGTGTGAAAGGACCTTTGAGGGTCCTTTGAGGTGATTTGGCTTGAACAGATGACATTTTAAAAATCACAGTCTTTTTTTTCTTAGTATCACTTAAAAATCCAAAATGCGGGTCTCCCTGGTGGCACAAGGGGTTGAGCACCACACTATGAAGCAGTCCAGCAGTCCAGCCTCTGCAGCACGAGTTCAATCCCTGGCAGGCCAGGGAGAAACCCACATGGCAGAGCAGACCTCTCCTGTCTCGCCCACTGCTCTCCTCAGCTGTGTATTTCAGTCAGTCTACTTGTTCTGCTCCCCACTCTGTCTCTGGTAGGTCCTCTCACCCCCCGCATCTCTGGCCTGTACCCCAGCTCTTGTGTGCACAAATAAATAAATCTTAAAAAAAAATCAAAATGTCAAAATGCTGCTAGTTGGCCTTTGATTTCTTTAATAAATATGACTAAACGTTATTAAATCTTGGTTCCATATGAATCCAGAAGTAAAAACAACAGCATTTTTTCCCTTGTAGGGCCCTCTGATTCTTAGCATCAAATTAATAAACACTCCCAAAAATAGCATATGGGGCTGAACAGTTTTCCAAAGAAACTCTAATAGTATGTTCATGAAGAACATGTCATTTTTACCATATCTTGTTTGTGAGATGGGAAGATAGAGTGTGGGGCCTTGACAGAAAGAACTTCCCAAAGGTTAGCCAAAATTGCAACTAATGCAGAACCAGAACATGGTCTCCTTGTCTTCAGCCCTCCGCTCTATCATTCTAAAAACAAATATTTTTCAAACTGACTGCATTTCAACAGATACATATAGATGTAAGGATACCAGTTTTGCTTTTCATGTCCTCAAGGCTGAGCACTTACTGAAATGGCATCACCCAAAGGGTGATTTAATAAGAAATAAAACCCTGTCACAACATCTGAGAAAATTATCCCCCAAACTTCGTAAGACCTAAGCTTTAGAAAAACATCCTGTGCTCTCCCAGAACAACACGTCTTGAACTGGCCCTGAAGATTAAAGACAAAGTCATTTACTTACAGGTGGAAAGAATCATGACTGCATCTCTGCAGGGAGGACACCAGACCGTCTTCAGTTCATCCACGGAGCTCCAGGCACAAAACACATCTTTAAACTGAAGTCAGAGCTCATACCAGACGTTTCTCACAGGCAAAGTTAACCCCACCTATTTTCCTGTTCTCAAAACCTCAGAGGAGTGTGTAAATGACAACGCAATGGCCTATATAAGAAAGCTCAATAAAAAAAATCTGCATCCAGAGCTCTAAGGGGATTGCTTAGTGCCTTGTTTCCAACAGTGTGCATGAGTCCAGAAAACAAAAGTTTCTAGAAATTATAAAATTTTGGTAACAGGGGACCTTAGAAATCAAATCAAACTGTCTCCTCTGGACAGAGAAGACAATGGAGGCACAGACAGAGAGGGACACAGTTAGTGATAGCAACAGAATTAGAAGCTAGGTTCTGGGGTGCAAGGACTAGGACAGGTTGTCCTCCCACTCAGCAGGGACATTTCAGGGATCAATGAGGAAACTTTACTGGAGGGTGAGGGAGGGAAGTCTAATCTAATAATATAGCTCAAAGGTGACTGGGGGCAAAACTTAGATATATAAAAACAATACCACCAACAGTAAAATTTGTACTTAGCAGTTTCACTTCATCCCACTGGAAAATATAAACAAAACTAAGCACCTCTCATGAAGACAGCGTATTCATAGTGCCCGTCCTATTTCCTGCCTTATAGATTAAGATCTCTTTAAGCCTCTGGGTGGATTCTTGTACTTTTATTTCACCTTTTGCCTTAGCTATGTTTTTATATAAAAAACTTTTTTTTTTTTATAGTTTGAGTGAAACACTTAAAAGACTTTTGAAGAAAATGGTCCCAAATGTTGCCAGGTATTATCTATCTTGTTTTCCCATCAAGATAGACTACGCTCTCTCCTCACACTTTTTTTTTTTAATAAATTCCTTTTTAAAAAATAAGATTTATTTATTTATGCATACAAGAGCTGGAGTACAGGCCAGAGGTGTGGGGGGTGAGAGGATTCACCAGAGGGAACAGAACAGAGACACAGCGGGGAACAGAACAGACAGGCAGACTGAAATACACTGCTGAGGGGAGCAGCGGGCAAGTCAGGAGAGGTCTGCTGCACCATGTGGGTAGCTCTCTGGCCGGGAATAGAACTCGTGCTGCAGTGGCTGCAGACAGATGCATAGATTGCATCTTAACCCCTTGAGTCACCAGGGAGGCCCTCTCCTCACTCTTTTTGACACCATCAAGCACATTAAACACAAGCTACTCAATGTGAAAGGAAGGAATGGATGGATTGGGAGAGGTGGGAAGAATCAAGGGAGAGAGGAAGAAGCAAAGAATGACAAGGATAGTAGGGTATAGCTTGCGTATGACCGAACTCCTTGAATAGGTTAAAGATTTAGTTGAAAGGTATGTGTTTTTGTGATGAGGGAATAATTAAACAAGGAGATGAGGGGGAAAGTGGCAAACAGACTGTGCTTGAGATGTAGATTTTATTTTTCACTATTATGAGACAAAAAAGGCTGGGAAAGCACTAGAATGGATGGACCACCCAGAATGGAGAGATGGTTCTCCAGGGCCATGGGAAAGGTGTTGCTCAGAGTAGTCAACTACTGCTCATGCACTCACACAGCCAAGCGGGCCGCAGCTGCCCCACAGCAGTGGAACTCTTAAAGAATGACCCCATGTCTTCTTGATTTTCTTGTCCCATAAGACCAGGAATAATGTGTGGGGCCATTGATGACGAACACAGTACATCTTTTCTCTGGGTTCATCAGGAAAAGTGAAGGCTCTAACTCCTCTAGTTTCTTGGAGACTATAAGCATCAGAAACCATTCACACTCAGTAGTCTATAATTAAGTCTTGTTGACCCAGGAATCCAGTCCAAGCAGGCCTCCTGAAAACCATATGGGAGACAGCTGGATATTCTACGTTCTGTTTTCCTGGATGCTTCCTGGTCTCTGCCAGAACTTGAATTTGTTCGTGGGTCTGGCTGGCAGAAGGGGCAGCCTTGGTTGTGAACATCACTTCATGTCTCTGCTCAGGAGCCCAGCACCTCCAGTTAAACATCTGTGCCCTTAGGCAGATTCTTAAACTTAGAAACTGATTGCCCCAAGTTAATTTTCTATCAAACTCCCAATTAACTGCAGACACCATGTGCAAGATGTATTTAGTCCAAACACTGGCTCTGCTGGAAACTTCAGCTGAACAGATGCCCCTAAACATGTCTACCTAAGCCAGGGGTATTAGTGAGTGAAAAGTCCAGCCTTTTTCTTTTCAGTAAAGACTATTTGATTCCTAAGAGTAAACAGCTGACAACTGTGAGGCACAATTCCCAATCCTAAGACATCAGTGTTCATACCTGACAGGATAAAAAGTTTCAATTGAAAGACAACCCATGTTTCTTATAAATATATAATTTTTATATATTAATATATTTACAATATATACATCATACAAATATTTTCATGTAATATTCATGAGTCTTGAAAACAGATGTTTTCAAAACTAAAGACGAATATTTATCCAAGGTGGGTTCCTTGTACATCTAGAACCCACAGTCCAGAGAATGCTCCAGCCCCAGATTTCTGCAGAAGTCAAAGCGGAGAAAGGTTGCTGAAACATGACTCTAAAAACCTTCTTTTTGAATATGCTGGCCTTCCACTGGTACCAGCTATCATGGCCCTATTTAGACCCCTAAAATGGGCAAATCCAGGGGTCTACACCTAGCACCATTGGGCACTCATGCGCCTATGGGATGGGCAGAAGTAAGCCCCTTTAATCACCATTTCTAAGACAGTATTTTCATAATCTGGAAGATTCAGTCACAGAGCTAAATCTGGCTTAGGAACAAATACTTCAGGTATCCTTTATAGGTAAAACCATCTACATGTCCAAGTGCTAAATAAATTAAAAGTAGCCACAAAATGCCATTTGTTCCTTGAGCTTTGGAATCTGGTAGCCACTGGTCACAGTTATCTTCCAAAAGTTTCTTCACATTCGACTAGTTCATCTATTGTACGCAGCAAATCTTCAAAGGAAGGTCTTCCCTCTGGTTTCTAAATTAAAAATCAAAGAGAGGTTGTGGGTTCCAAAGCCATTCTAAAAATAATTTCTCACTGTCCAACTCAGGTATATCACACAAGAGCAAGGTGCTCATTGCTTTGGGGCTGGAACATGTATATGTCACCCAATGAGTTCAGTCTGTGCTACTCTAGCAGAGTGGATAGCATCCCTGCCTGACAAATGGGTTCCAGTCTATCCTGCAAGAACTGTGCTAGGCCAGACTTTCTACCACACTGCTTTTACATTCCTGCTTAAGAACCTAGTAGAGCTTACTATCTGTGAAATCACTTTGCAGGGCCCTCTATAACCTGAGCTCCCTCCTTTCCTAATTACTCAATTTATGGACTCTGCTCAATCAGAGCACTCTTCACCCTCGTGCACACACACCAACTTCATGACTATCCCTTACCTTTGCTCATGCTCTCTCGCTCTCCCTAGCACCACTGCTTGCCTAGAAGCCTCTGCCATCCCCATCAGTGCTCTTGGGAGGTATTACAGTAGGTGATAGCGAGCCTGGGGGCTGGAGTCAGATAGGCCTCAGCTTTCTGTAGCTATCTGGGGTCTGGGGCAAGTGTCAACTTCATGAGCCTCGGGCTTCTCATCCACAGAGGGGTCAGAGTAAATGTATCTGCTCCTCAAAGGGTTTTTTTAAAAACTAAATATAAAGCACCTCATATAGTGCCTACCATACATGTAAGATAATATTATTACCTTTCAAAAGTCATTTTTGTGTCTAATCTGTTCAGTGAAGTGACACTGTAATACATGGGAAGGAAAACTTCCAAGGATTGTGAGTAAAGAGACTTGAGGATGTTGAGGTTTAGAGAAAGAAATCCTCCCAGGCAAAAAGTCCTAATTCAACAATATAAGAGGTACACTGAAAGAGAGCTACTTCTCTAGGCTGACCCCTGAGTCCCTAACTCGGGTACTCAGGATTTCCACCTGGGGCTGAGGCCACACCCTGAATTTATTTTGCTAACCATGAGCATTTTCCACTTCTTCACATTCTTTGTTCCTGTTACTCAGAACTGACTCGAGAGGGGTCGCTTTCTACCTAGAGACTGAAATTGTAATAACAAGCAAGAAGCCACACTTTATTCATCCACCACACCCAGATCCCTAAACGTTTTAGAGATTGAAAAATAAAATACAAGCAAACAAAAATATGGTTACCTCCTGCCAACATCGCAGCATCACCTCGTATACATATTTGGACGCCAACTTTGGCGGGTAGAGTCGGTGGCCTCGAGTAACCATGGTTACCACCTCGTAGTTGGTGTTTTTCTCGAAGGGCATTCTGCCTTCAGTGAATATTTCCCACATTAAAACACCTGGAAAAGAGTAACGATTACTAAACGATGAACCTGCTTCCTCTCAGGAGCAGAGTTGAGAAGCAATGGCACATGGGTCTTACCAAATGACCAGACATCTGATTTGCTGCTAAAACGACTGTAATTAAACACTTCAGGAGGACACCACTTCACAGGAAATTTAGCACCAGAAGAACTTGTGTATTGATCATCCAGAACATACCTAGAGGAAGACACACCACAGGGTCACACCTCCGAGTTACATCTGCATTTTGTACATGTTCTTTAAATTTTTTCCTCCTTAAAATCAAAAACAAAGTTGATTGAAGTCCAAAAAGCATCCGGTTGAAACTAAATATTTGTCTCAGTGGCCACACCTGGTGATTTCCATCCTTTCAGCTTTAAGTGCTTGAGCTGGATCCATTTTAATTTATAACATTAGTATCTGCACTTTTACTTCTCTAGTTATTTTTCCTTTTTTTATATAAGGAAATGGGAGCAGAGTACAAAAAAATACGTTTGCAAATGTTCTTTGCAATAATTTTGTTCTTTAAACAAAATTGTACCCAAAAGCCCCACATGTAAAACATCTAAAGCAGAGCAGCTCTAAAGGAAGTGGTGCAGGTGTCAGGCAACACGTGTTCTTTTAGTCACTGATCCCCCCGCCCCACCCCCAACCCCATTCTACAGAGCATGATTGAAAACTATAGCAAATGAAAAGAGCAAATTGAAAAATGACATATGTAAGTGGTGGTGTGTATATTTATCCATCTTGACATCCCCCCTCTACACACCCAATACAGTGTCATATAAATTTTCAGTGTGAATGTACTTCTGGAACAACCCACACAAACTAGAAACAGTGGCTATGTCTGGAGAGGAGTGTTGTTTGGATGGTAGGTTATGGAGACTTCAGCCCATTCTGTAATATTCTGAGTATATTAATAAAAAGAATGTGTTTATGTATAACGTGAAACTATAAAGTCAATTTCTAAAAGCTCCCTGAGAAAATCACTGCACACACTTCTTGGCACTATACACAAAGATGGTGATTCAGCACAATAGCTAGCTGCTGGCTGCAGACACCAACACCACAGGCTGGATCCACTTGTTTGTCAATCAGGAGACTCAATTTAGTGTATGGAGGAAGTCTCAGAAAATCTGATGCAAAAGCACAGATTTTCTGAACACCAAATATATATGAAATTGGTAGACAGCCTGTCAGATACAGAACATCTTTTAAAGAAACAACACTGGGGCTTCCCTCATGGCGCAAGGGGTCAAGTCTTAGCACTATCAAGCTATCGGCAACCACCAAAGCATGTGTTCAATCCCCAGCCAGAGAGCTGACCCACATGGCGCAGCAGACCTCTCCTGTCTCTCCTGCTGCTCCCCTCAGCAGTGTATTTCAGTCAATCCGCTGGTTCTGTTCCCTCTCACCGCCCTCACACCCCCTGTACCTCTGGTGAACCCTCTCACCGCCCCCCAACCCCCGCACCTCTGGCCTACACCCCTGCTCCTGTATGCATAAACAAATAAATCTTTAAAAAAGAAAGAAAGAACACTGTGTAATTACTGCCCTGATAGTCAACAGTACTAGCCCCACTTCTGACAGTATTATCTTCCTAACCTACCTGGCCCAAGTTTCCCTGGGAACTGAAACAGGCCTGTGTGGCCAGTCCTTGCCTGCTTTTAGACCTTGCACTGGCCATAGGCCAGCCACCTGGCCCTGTTTCAACTGCTTGAGCAGGCAAGCTTGCCCCTGCTTTTAAGCTCTAGCACTTGATGTTTCTTCCAACTGGAATTTTTTTTAAAGAATTATTTTATTTATGCATACAAGAACTGGGGTACAGGCCAGAGGTGTGGGAAGTAGGGAAGTAAGAGAATTCACCAGAGAAAGTAGGGAGCAGAACAGGCAGATCCACTGAAATACACTGCTGGGGGGAGCAGCAGGGGAAGGGGAAGGAGACAAGGGAGGTCTGCTGTGCAATGTGGTTTGCTCCCTCCCTGCCAATTGCTTGAGAGCGCTATCTTTAACCCTTGCACCACCAGGGAGGCCCCTACCTGGAATAACTACTTCCTGTCTTTTGGTCTCACTCAAATTACCCCATCTCAAAGAGGCCTCTGGCACCAGGTCTAAAGTAGCTCCCATCACCCTGGCCCCACATCATCACTCAGTACCACCTCTTCTAAGTTATCCCCCAAGTCACTTCTGTCACAGGGGTCAGGAAATTTATTCTACATAAAGCCAGAATACAAATATTTTATATTTTCAGGACATACCATCTCTGCTCAACTACTCACCATTAAAAAAATGTACAAACCATTGTTGGCTCATGGTCATACAAAGAGAGGAGGGAGGTCATATGTGGCTACTTGAACCATGCTTTTTTACATCGCTGTCTCTTCCCCCCCTTTTTAAAAAAAAATTATGTATATTAGGGGTCTTTTATATTTTTTAGGGGTCTCACACCTCTACAATGTCTGTTATCACACATGGCCAGAACCAAAGTCCCAAAGTGTTTTCTTCTCTTTGGGATTCTCAGGTCCTGTGTTGCTCTCTCCTCCTGAATATTAGATCTATGTTATTTTCTGCTCTAGTACAGCCTAACGGTATGCCTGGCCCATAGCAGACATCTAACTTTGGATGGATGATGGGTGGAATAAAAATCGGATAGACAATGGAAGGAAGAGAAGGAGGAATAGAAGACAAAACTAAATATTTTAAATACCGTGTTAAAATGACAAAAATCAAGAGAACACACCATAGATTTGGGTATTCTAATAATTTTACCCCCAAGGACATTTCTGAGAAAATAAGGTAATAGAATTGTCCCACACCAGGGTGAAGAGGTAGTGTATTTAATAGGATATGCTGCCACCTAGTGGAGAGGATCATACCCACTGCATGCCTAGTTCTTTTAAAGAATTTATTTCTGAACAGCTAACAAATTTCCTATCTGCTTCATCAGGGAAGATTATTCCCACATTTATTAATTCTATACAATTATGCAAATGCCTAAATTTAAAAAAAAATTTCCTGTTAAGTTCCCCTCCATAATTGTTATGTTATTGTGAAGAAAAGTAGACCATGTTTAATCTTACTTGATTTTATGACATTGCTTTAAATATGTTAAGATTTGACTCATATACTAGTATTGTCGTTTTTCAAGTGAAAGTGTCCCTAAAGGCCACTTTATGATATTTTGCAGTAAATAAGGCAAGCAATCCTAAGATCTTCCACAAACATCTGGCCATCTAAAATGGAGAGGTGACTCTCCACCTACCAGCTAGTTACTAGAGGGTGGCTGGGGTATGCTACTTTCAGGATTTCAGAGTGTCTTCAAATTGAAATCTCAGTGCTCTCAGTATGAAAAACCTGAGATCAAATACTTACAAAAGGAAAGTGCTAGTAACTCCCCTGCAAAGTAGACAGATGGATGATGTTGGCCATAGTTTGCCTTTCTGACATTTCTTTGGGAATCTGCAAGAATTTACCCTTTTTCTCCTCCAATGAGACCATTTAAATGTGTGTTAAGCAACTACAGAATATAATACTAGCTAAAAAGTTTGGCCAAACCAACCATGATGCTGGGGCGGGGGGGAATTAATATCACCTGAAGTCAGCTGAGCATTAAGCCATCATAATTTCCCATATCTATTCAACAGTTTGTTTGCTTGAGAAAAAAACCAATGCTGACAATAAATTGCATAAATTCTGCAAAGAAATCTTCCAAAATGCAATTCAACTAATTTTATTGCCTTATAGCAAAAACACACTAAGGGGCCTCCCTGGTGGTACAAGGGGTTAAGCACTGCACTATGAAGCAATCTGCAGCCTCTGCAGCATGAGTTTGATCCCCGGTGACCCAGGGAGCTACCCACATGGCACAGCAGACCTCTCCTGTCTCGCCCGCTGCTCCCCTCAGCAGTGTACAGTCAGTCTGCCTGTTCTGTTCCCCACTCTACCTCTGGTGAGACCCCACATATCTGGCCTATACCCCAGCTCTTGTATGCATAAATAAATAAATCTTAAAAAAAAACAACACAGGGCCTCCCTGGTGGCACAGCAGATTGAGTGCAGTGCTGTGAAGCTGTCCTCAGCCTCTGCAGCACTGGTTTGATTCCCGGCTGGCCAGGGAGATACCCACATGGTACAGCAGACCTCTCCTGCCTTGCCTGCTGCTACCCTCAGCAGTGTCTTCGTTCAGTCTGCCTGTTCTGCTCCCCACTCTGCCTCTGGTGAATCCTCTCACCCTCTGACGCCTCTGGCCTGTACCCCAGTTCTTGTATAAATAAAAATAAATCTTTTTTTAAAAAAATCACACACACTAAGAAACAGAAAAATCAATTCATTTCCCCATCCAAAAAGCTAGGTACTACTATTTTGCTAATGGAACAAAAGATGTGAATCAAGAAGTCTTTTTAAAATAAGCTTCAGAGGAAGGAGTTGACACAAACTGCACAACAAAAAGGTCAGATTTTCTTACTTTCAATGGAAAGATCACAGTCTCATGTTAATTTAATCCAGAACTTGTAGATGTACTCAAAGACTCAGTCTTACCTGGCCATTCCAAAATCAGACACTTTCACAACTCCTGCCTCATTTACTAGACAATTCCTGGCAGCCTGGAAAACAAAATTATAATAGTAAATTAGTTAAATGTTCTGGAATAAAAATTTAAAAATATATAGATTCTGTTTATATTAACTTTAGTGTAGTCCAGTCAGGATTTGCAGAGGATGAAAATGTCTCTTATAGATTATTTCTACCCCTATGTAAATATCTATAGGGCAGGAAGAAAATCATATGTGTAATAAGACATTATATAATCCTTACTAATTGTCATACTTAATCAAAAACAAAAAGAAGACTCAGATTTTTGCCCTCCCAGATCTATTCTGATTCAACTTCCTGATTATCTTACTGAGAGTGACATCTCCTGAACTCCTTCTCCTGGTTCTCACTGACTTACACACACCATCAGAGTCATGGGTGACCAATCTTTTACACAGTGGCTTTCCTCAGTGACTGGCCATCCTGGTCCCTAGCAGTCAAAAGAACAGCCTTGGGTAACATAGTTTCCTTTGTCATTTATAATGTTGCCAGTATAACACAATATACTGATTAATCAAATAAAACTCTGGATTATTTAATTTATACTTCCTTCTCCATTATTTAATGTGACACATTTCAAGGAAATAGTTTGGTAAAAGGACAGTATTTCTCAGAAGGAAAATATGATAATGATCTTTTTAATACCATAATCCATGGGCTAAATATGCATTTTCCTTCCTGACAGTCCAGAATTTAATGTCTGAATGTAATGATTCTGCTTCTATAAGGTTATTTCCTGCTGAATATAATTTACCAGTCTTCTAGTGTGGGGTTAATGTCCAGGCACTGCATTTGCCTCCATCTCTCTACAGGATACCCCATAATGCCTCTTGATGTCAACAGGTTCTTCACCCGGGAGGCAAAAATATCAGAATCTTCCATTAAGGGGTAACAAACCTACCACAGTGATGTCTATATCACAGACACAAAAATATCAAACTTGGCTTTCACTGAGATATGGTCTGTGTGGACAAGTGAAGTTTGTCATACTTATGTAGCTGTTTGATTTTCATTAGTTTTAAAAAAACAAAAAAGAGGAAGGTGCTTAGTTCACAAGTTTCAAAATGACAAAGAAATGTCCTTTATTAGCACTGACCCTGATAATAACAATAACTAGTGTTATATATATCACACTTATTTTACAAAGTCCTTTACCCTAGTCCTATAATATGACCAGATTTGCAAAAGAAAAGCCTAGTACAAGACAGCTTCACTGGTGAATTTTAGCAAACATTTAAAGGAGAATTAACACAATACTTTTCAAACTCTTCCCAAAAAACTTTGGGAAGTTTTATAAGTTTAACATTAGGGACACCAGAGCCAGATGGGGAAATTTTTGGTCAAAGCTGTGCAAGCTTTCAGTTACAGGATAAGTTTAGAGGATCTAATGCGAGCACAGTGACTACAGTTACCACGTAGATCAGATATCATGGCAGCATACAGGTGACAGCAGCTGAGAGCAGATCTCACACATTTTCACCATACACACACACACACACACACACACACAAAGGTAATGGTGAGTGACAGATACGTGAATTAATTTGGTTGTGGCAACCATTTTACAGTGCACACCTATATCAAGCCATCATGTTGAACACTTTAAATATATACTATTTTATTGGTCAACCATACTCCAAAAAAAAAAAAAAAACTGCAAGAACAGTCTTGTGAGCAAAATAGTATTATAACCTGCAATGTACCAATGTAGGAACAGTCTTAGAGAGATTAGGTAACTATCCTAAAACACATCCAGGAAATCAACTTTTCCATTTCCAAATCTTCAGTTCTTTATTATGCCCTAATCTAGAGACAGCATAGCACAGTAATTATAACACGAACTCTAGAGTCAGACACTCTCATTCCAATCATGACTCTCTGACCATTGGTATATGATTTTATCTTCTTTGTATCTCAGTTTCCTCATCTATAACAGAAGGATAATAATAGCACCTACTTCTTGAGTTTCATTTATCATGGATATCACATGTATTAGCGCAATATTTGTTAAAGGTGACTGTTAACTTTTTAAAAATTGCTTTGCTGCTACTTTAGAAAAAAATGTATATATGCTTTATGACAAGAAAATAAGAGCTAAAATATGGGAGGAAGTCCTACATGAGAATCACATTTTTTTTTGGTGGAAGAATCATCTTCAAGAACAAGGAGTGAAGTTTCTATCAACCCGCTAAGAGTAGATTTGAGAGTGAGCAGTGAAAAAAGAGAGAGAGAAAGAATGGAGGAAAGAGGGCAAAAAATTGAGTAAGAAAGGAAAATTTAATAAGTGTTTTCATCACTGTAATTTAGAACCAGTAATAGAAGATTTTTTTAAGATTTATTTATTTATGCATATAAGAACTGGGGTGTAGGCCAGTGCGGGGGCAGGGGTGGTGGTGAGAGGATCCACCAGAGACAGAGTGGGGAACAGAACAGACAGATCTACTCAAACACACTGCTGAGGAGAGCAGCGGGCACGACAGGAGAGGTCTGCTGCACCATGTGTGTCACCTCCCTGGCCGGGGATCAAAGTGGCTGCAGATAGCTTCATAGTGCTGTGCCTTAACCCCTTGCACCACCAGGGAGGCCCCAGAATATTATTTTTTCTGGCAATTTCAGGAGCTAACACGAGCCTCCTTCTTTTTCCAGTGATTTGAGAGAGAAAGAAAATGAACCAAAGGATTTCTCTTATAGTTTCTGATGATAGTACATGAGATGAAAAAGAATTTAGGATTTAGTTAAAGAATGAATCACCCCCTTAACTTCTTCATTTATCAACATATACTACTCATTTCACTTCTCTGAAGCTAATTTTCTTATCTATAAAATGATGAAAAGAAAAATTGTTATGATTAGCTATCTTGTGGGATTTTTATGGAGACCAAATAATTATTGCATGGTAACTTAGTTGGAAATATTATCTCTGTAATTATGTTTTACTTATCACTATATCACTAGTACCTTTGTAATTAAGTATCATGTGTATTATATCCAATAAAATCCTTCTGTTAAAATTATGTAGCAAGTTAAATTTACCAAGTTTCAAAATAATGAAGTCTCAAAACATATAAAAACTCATCTAAACTTGGTTTTGAGGCTTGTTTTCACAAACAGTATATTTTTTTCACAGATAGGAGAGTGAAAGCTTAGTAGCAAATGACAGAGGCTGAACACGCGTACACTGCGTTAACCTTGAACTGAGCCCCAAGCTGACTGCCCTGTAAATAGCCAATGAACTTCAGCTAAGTCCACAGTTCTTTGCCCCAACTCACTCCACAGCCAATAAAATTGAATTCCTTTTTTCTCAACCCCAATCCCAAACCAATATAAATTCCCTCCCCTACTGAGATGGGGAGGTAAATCTGAGGTTTTCTCTTGCTCCTTCGTTTGTTGACCTGCAATAAACCTTCTCTCCTCTCAGATCTAAACTCATGATTTCAGCCGCTGTGCGCAATACCAGTGTGAATACACCATTGCTCATTCGCTGACCCAGTGTTACAAAAGAATTAGGCCAATGCAGGGCACACGGTGGTTTATGATTACCAGGTCTCTGTGGATGAAGCTGTTTCTCTCCAGATACTCCATTCCTTCACACACATCCTGACACATGCTCAGCAGCAAGTCTTTGCTAAAATGTCCTTGTCTCTGTCGGAGGAAATTCAGAAGGCAGCCTCTTTCCATGAACTCAGTGACAATGTAAAGTGGTTTCTGTTGGGTGCAGACACCATAAAGCTGTACTAACTTCGGATGGGTCAGTTTCCTGGGGAGGAAGTCAAGCACACACATGGTTACTCTAGGAAGAGAAACCACCAGGGTATTAGCTGAAGAGGGACCATTTTTCTTCAAACAAAAAGAAAAACCAGAAAGAACATGGTAACTTACATCATCAATTTGGCTTCTTCTATAAAGTCCTCCTCACACATGGCACCTTCCCTAATGGCTTTGATGGCCACTTTGTACTGGGCTCGCCACTTGCCAAGCCTCACCACTCCAAACAGTCCACTCCCCAACTCCCTCATGAAGGTTAGCTCTGAAGGGTTAATTTCCCATTTTTCTGTGAGACAGAGGGGGAAAGTGATAAAATGTAAGGAGAACAACATGAATCAATGGGAAACAAAGAAAGAATCAAGGTCAATGTAAAGTTACAGAATACTACAATTACTGGTACCAGGCACAGCAACTTATGATCCCCATCTAAATGGCAAAAGGTGCCTTTCCACCCTCAGGAGAGGATGCACCCCTGCTAAGATGTCACCATACAAATAAAGTGAATGGAAGCAGGTAAGTAGATACTGCATAATTGGCTAATAATAATAGAGCTTACAAGTTCTAAGTATTTTAAAAGACATATATCCTCATTTACTATTCTTCCTCTCAGAGTTTTGTTTTTTTTTTTTTCCTTTTTCTATTCCACCAAGTTGAAAGATGTAAACTTCAGTTTAAAAAGATTTTGCCAGAAGCAACAAAGACAATCAAATTGGATACCTACTCTATTTCCTTCATCTTTACATTCTTGTGTGAAACCAGCAAAGCTGATATATTTAAAATATATCACAGTCATATGTTTTTACACTGGTAGAAAGTTTTCTTCTGAATTATTAATAAAGATGACAGGAAAACTGAGGTTGCTACAGCATTAAGTATAATTACCTAAAACTCATACTACATACTTATAAAAAAAATTCCACTACATCAAATTCCACACATCTAAACTTGCCTTGTGATGGAAACTTTTCAGAAAAATTAGCCGGTGCAAATACAACATGAGACTTACCATAACTGAATCCTGCAGTGGTTGGTGCGTTCTTTTCCTTTGCACTCACTGGATACCGCAACCTTGTGACAAGTCCTAGAAAGCAAAGAAAGTATTCAGTTAATGTTTGTTGATTAACACATCAGTAATCCTTCTGTATGGTTAAGTGCTCATTAACTCATTCTTAATCATTCTGCTTGGTGAAGTGCTGAATTAGCAGTGCTCATCTTCTGTGTGCACACATAGCTCTGCATTATATGCCAGCAAAAAATAAAAAGGAGAAAGGCAAAAAGGGAGGAAGGTAGGCAGGATGAAGGTGTTCCAACTCTCTGAGCTGAAAACTTCATTATTTTCTGGGTATCTCCTACTCAGTTACATGTTTCAAGTTAAAGGTTTGAAATTTTTCTGTCTCACCCTATGAAGAGCCTTAGTTGGCATAAATGAGGTTTCTATTTTTCGTTTTGATGTCTGGTTTGTTCTCATTCTAGTGATAAGTATAGCAGAGATTCAGGACACAATTCTTCTAATTTTTTGGAATTCTATGGGCTAAAACCTGCTCTCTTCTAGCAGCTTCTATGACAACTCTGACACAGACATGTGAGTGTCAGAGGAAAAAAATATACAACAACACCTTTGAAGATGGTAGAGCAACTCTTCAAACCCTCAGGATGGTGACAAATGCACTACAATGGGATTTTACAATAAGGGAGAGAGATTGGTCTCACTTTGAATACAGGCTGAGCTACTAGGAATTTATAGTCAAGGAAGAGGGTTGGGGTCAGAGAACTGATGATTACTAGCCAAGGAGCAGGGTCAGGGTCAAAAAAAATTTCTTTCATGGTAGATTGCTTCATTGGCAGCAGTACAAGTCAATAAATATTGATCCCCAAAGAACTCAGATTATTTATCAAGTCACTAATCTATGGAACCAGCAATCTGATTGCTTGGATGACAAATTGAAGTCAACTCTGCTTCTTGGGAAATGAAATTATAGCCAGCTGATATATGGCATACGTTTTTCCACTCTATGAACCACTGTGGCCCTAGAGAGGACAGCATCAGTATCCCACCCATTGGATGCACTGCAATTCCATTACCTCCTGAAACAGTTTTTGTTTCTCTAAAACTTTATTATTTAACTGCCTGTGTTAAGTAGTACTTCCAGTCATCTGGGAAATTTGTTGAAGATCAAATTAATGGCTCAGTTAATGCCTAGCAACAGTGACAACTGAATACCGGGAATTAAAATCTTCACATTAGAACTAGAGGATTAAAAATTACTAGGAGAAGCCTCAGTGATAAGTAAGGGAGGAGTTATAGCTAAACCTATTAACATGAGTCTTACTAAAGACACATCAGAGTGATCAGACATATCCTGGGGGACACTGGTAATAGAGTCTGATCAGATATTGAGGATGATAAGATATTGAATTGGGTAGCAGATTCTGCTTACACTAACTTAGCAGGGTTCCTAATAAAACTTAATTTCACCAGGAAGTGCACGATGGGCCTTAGAGATGGTTCTGGAGCCTAAAGTTTGGTCAAGCAAGGAATCTTCAACAGTACCAAGGATACAAACCACAGAAATATGAATATTTACCAGGTACCACTAGAATAACTCATGGCTACGGTCAAAATAAAAGTTTTTATGAAACTTTGTTTCTGATTTTTCTTTGTATCTATCACTTTAACATGCAATAATTTTAAATCAATAACATTCTACAACTAAAAAGTAAAACTGCTCAAAGAAGAATTCATCACACCTGATCATATTAATCATTACCTTATATTTGAAGTAGGATGTGACAGCTCACTTACCTGCTGCATTGTGCTTATGATATTCAATAATCTCAGCAATTGAACCAAATGCATGTTTTTCTGCCAGGTAATACTTCTTTGGGGATGTTGTTGTTTCCTTTATATGATAATGTCTGAAGCCTGATGAGCCTTCACTATAACAAAAAGAACGAAGTTGGAATTATATAGCTTCATTCTTTTTTTTTTTTAAGATTTATCTATTTATTTATACAAGAACCGGGGTACAGGCCAGATGCGCGGGAGAGTGAGAGGATTCACCAGAGACAGAATGGGGAACAGAATAGGCAGACTGATGAAATACACTGCTGAGACGAGCAGCAGGCGAGACAGGAGAGGTCTGCTCGCCATGTGGGCATCTCCGCGGCCAGTGGGGATCGAACCCGCACTGCAGAGGCTGCGGACAGCTTCACAGCACTGCGCTCAAACACCTGTGCCACCAGGGAGGCCCTACACCTTCATTCTTAAGAGGTTATCTACAAGGCATCCATTGGACCCCTACATATGGCCCCTCCTATACCCTATACAAATTTTATTTTTCCCCATAGTTCTACTTAGTTTTGCCTTTCACATTAACAGGTGGATGTTTATAAAATGGTAACATACTTAATCTCTTGCATGAACTTGTGAAAGAACATTTATCAACTCCATTTACCAACAGTTGAAAATCTTAAAATAGCTATTACCTGCTACTGCCATTTGTCCCTGCTATGGGAACAAACTTAAAATGTCTAGAAGACTTAAATCTCTAAAAGTGAATAAACAAGACTTATAAGTGTACAAATTCTATTTTAGATATCCTTCTGGAACAGAGTCATCTCTTGCTAAAAATTCTTTTACAATAACCCCTGCTGTTCTTAAGACAGAGCTCAGATTCCTTAACATTGACATGACCTACCTCCACCTTTACCTCTCAGGCATCTTTTCTACCCTGATCCTTCACCCTGTCCCTTAAATTCTACAATTCAGCTACAGTACACTTTGGTCAGTTCCTTACACTCATCATATCCTCTCCCACCTCTTGGTCTAGCCACAAAGACTCCTACCACAACACTGACTCATACACTACCATAACTACCTGATTGCTTTCCTGAAGCCCCTACTAAGCTGGTGGAAAGCAGGGTCTGAGTCTACTTTCTCACCGTCAGATCCTTAGTGCTCAGTACTGTGCATAGCAATTATTTGTTTAATTATTTTTTTAATTTTACTAACGTTTCTCTAATCACTTGCAACAAACACATATGACAAACTATGAGAAAAATACTAAAAATATGAATATAAAAAGCACTTTGGATTTTAGAAATCAAGCTCAGGTTTTCATTTTTAATATTGAAATTAGTAAATCAGGATCCATATAAACTTAAAAGAACTTTGCACAAAAACTCAAAATTAAAACAAAAAAAAATGAGTGAAATGACTTACCCGCCAAACTTTGTGTAAAGGGACACTGTGTACAAGCCTGGTTGACTGGAATCCCTTACCATAAAACCACCTTCTTTATCCTAAAATTCAAGGTAAGAGAATTTTTTAAATCCAATAAGTAGCAATCCTCTGGATAATGTTCAAGAACCCAATCTTATGATTTCATGATTACTATCACTTTGCTTACAAAACTACTTTGAAGAAATATATGAACAGATAGAGGTGATATGAAGACATGCAGGGAGGTGATGACCCCCCCTACAAGCCAAGGAAAGAGACCTGAAACAGAAGGACACAACCCTGATGACACCTTGATTTCAGACTTCTGACCTCCAGAGCTGTGAAACAACAAACTGTTGTTTAAGTCATTGAGTTTATGGTATTTTGTTACAGCAGCTGTAGCAAACTAATACACTAGGAATCATTTTAAATGATTAAAAATAATTTTTTTAGAAAACCTTGCACTTTTGTCATAGTACTTTTTAGGTTACAAAACAGTTATGCGGGACTATTTATCAAGAACTAATTATACTTGGGCCTCCCCTGGTGGTGCAGCAGTTGAGCGCTGGGCTGCAAAGCTGCCACAGCCTCTGCAGTGCCGGATTGATCCCGGGCCACTGGCGAGGGTCCCACATGGTGCGCAGACCTCTCCTGCCATGCCTGCTGCTCCCCTCAGCAGTGTATTTCATTGGTCTGCCTATTCTGTTCCCTGCTCTGGCTCTGGTGAATTCTCTCACCCTCCCACGCTTCTGACTGTACCCAGGCCTTGTATAAATAAATAAAACTTTAAAAAAAAAAAAAAAAAGAATAAGTATTAAAAAAAGAACTAGTTACACTTAATTAGTGCCAACAGCAAGCCCAAAGAGACAGCACAAATACTTACTTCATTTCTGAGGAGCTGCTCTGCTTTGCTTCTGTTTGTATTTCTGCAATACCATCTAAACAGAAAAAAGATATATTTAAGACCTTAGGTTTTTAAAATTATTTCTATTTTGAGGAACTAACAAGGTAATAGTGCTCATCAATAACAAATACAGTAAATAAGAACAAGACATCATTCAAAATTCAATAATCTAGACAACCACTAGTAACATTTTGCTGTATATACTTTCAGATTTTTTTCTACCCATTTTTTATGAAAACATATATATACCCACATTTATATTTTTATTAAAGTGGGCTCAAACCATATATGCTATATCATAACCTGAATTTTTCATATAATGGTATCGTCACAAAGCAATCTAGTTTTATGCATCATGATATAGATATGCCATAACTAAACAATTCCTTACTATTTCACATAACAATGACTTCCAACATTTTACTATTATAACAGCAAGAATGAACTTTACTCTAGACTCAAAAATGCAGATGTCAATTTATATTATTGTCTTGAATTCAAATTAAGGCTTAATCCTGAGCCATTGATGTAGTAGATTTCATCTCAAGTCATGATAGAAGCCTCCCTACTGAATTTCATGAAGATCCCAAGTGTCAAAAGAAACAGTAAAACAGAAAAGCAGCTCCCCTGGGGTTTCCAAAATTACTGATCCCAGCACAGCTCCAAGCCCTTGCAGGTACCCAAAGCTCTACTGTATGTAAGCATGTACCCATGGTCAACCAATCCTGCTTGTCCTCCCAACAGGTTCAGCCACCAATCTGTGCAGCAGCTCCAGACACTTGCATATCTGTGCCCCTTCTTAACCTTTGGGAAATCTTTCTCGCTACATTACAATCTCCCACCTCATCCTCAGAGGTATTTTCCTCCCCTGCCTTCCCAGCATAATCTCTCATGAGGTTGTAAGCAAGCAGAGGTCAAAGAACATGAACTCATACTGTTTTCTTTGGCCTTTAGCTCTCAACTTGATTGGGTAATTGTTTTTTTAAATGTCTTTTAGTGGGCAAAGAACCCCCACCACATCCACAGTCCTATCGCCTGAGATTTCCCAATATTATGAAAACAGCCTGGCTTTCTGAATATCTGAGTTTTCCACCTCTCATTTAGCCTTTTATTAAAGAATGAGCACCTGTCTTTATCCCAGCAAACACCCTAAAACAAGTGAATACAAAAGCCATCCCTGATTGAAGTGGAAAAAATACAAAGAACACGATTTTTATCTGTCTGGCTTCTTTTATGCAGTTGTAGTGGACTCACACAATTACAATCTCAATAAAAGCTAATGACTTATTTTATTTGGAGGCTGGGGTGACTAACCATATCCCAGAATGGTGGGCATTAACATCGCATCACTGTGGACCCCAAACAAAATTGCAGTTTTAATCGATCAATTTCTGAACGCGGCTGAGAGGTTTAATAAATGAGAAGAATAGGATGGATTCTGCTCTTAACACTTTTCCACTGAAGCAAAGAACCTTTACCAGAATGCCAAAGAGTCCAAAAAATTCATTAAGGAAAGACAACTGGAGATCTCATTATGCATTATAAACTAGCAGGACTTGAAAGATTGAAAAGTAATCTCTTTATTAATAAAAGAAGATCCAACCCATATCTTTGCAGTGAAAGGAGGCTATGGAGGTTTAGCCTCACGTTCCAATGCAAAACATCAGTAAAGCTAAGTAGTGGCTTCCAAAAAGAAATTAGATGTAAGATATGCAGAGAAAAGGTCTTTTCCTCACTCAATATATTCAATCTGGGAAGAGATAAAGTTATTAAGGGGAAAAGAAAGAATCCACTGCACAAAAGGGTAGCTCTTTGAAACCCTATCTGAAGAGGAAAAAAAAATGTCATTTTTATAACATTTGCAGATTCCTCAGTAAGATTCCTCCTCCCCGGTGATACAAACTCAGACCTTTCATAGTATGTTGAAGGAAGGAAAGGAAGAAAGAATGAGGAGCAAATAAGCAAATGAAGCAACTAGCAGAGAGATTTTCCCAATGGTTCCTTGTGGTTTCTCTCTTCCACGATACCTCTCACCTGATGATAAGGAAAGACCACAGCGCCTCTGCTGAATCCATCAGGAAGAGCTATACACACAGGTACGATGAGAAGGAGCACAGGTGATGAGCCCATGTATTGGGGTGCTGCCCTTCATATGCCAGACCACTGACATCTCTCAGAAGCCCCCCCAGAGATGCTTCCTTTACAGGGTAGTGTCTCTTTGGAAGAAGCTATCCATTTAGAAAAGGCACACAGGATTCTCCCTAGGCCGTTCCACTCTCAGACATCAAAACCCTAATGGGAATGAGTTTTTCAGGTTGGCAAGTCAACTTCAGAACACACCAGAAGAATAAAACTTCCTAGTACTGTGTCTACATAAAGAGGAAAGAGGTTTGGGGACAGGCAGTCCTTTCTGGAAAGGTCAATCCTGGTCAAGTTTCTTGGGGAAGATGGGTATAGGTGAATCCTGAAAAGAAGACAATATGTATAAATGAAGGAAAAACAGAAAACAATCAACCAAGCAGTTATCCATCTTTGCCTGTTCTCTGATTTGACCTGTCCTCTTGTGTCTCTACCCTAGACATTTTTCCTTTTCTAAGGGCCCGTTCAGTTCTGTCACTCTCCCCTTTTAACAACTTTCTATCAAGAACACACTCTTATTAACCTTCACAACAAGACCATTCTATCCTGCAGAAGTTCCTCTGATCCTCTCCTCCCCAATCTGCTGTTAGTGTGGTCAGAGAGTGTTTCTGGAAGAGCTGGGAGTTATGGGTTTGGCAATCCTGACTCCAGCCCAGAGGATAATCTGTTGCCCGGGATGCTATCTAGGCCCAAACAAATAGTAGAAGAAATCTTGTTCAACAGCTGGAAAAGGGTTTTTTTAATCCTTGGGACACTTAATATGTGCAATAGCATGAGTTATAGCAAAAAACAAAACAAAGCATAGGATGGAACGACAGCCAAAGAAGAAGGGGAACACTGTCCACAGGGAGAACAAGTTCCAGCCAGGCCTGGCACAGGGCCACGTAGAATCCCTGACCTCTTGAGAGATTGCTCAGGGGACTGCCATGCTGGAGACCCTACACAGCAGTTCACTTAGTCAGAGAGGAGTGTCCCTCAGAAGAGAAGAAATTTCCAAACTAAAATGTATCCAAAAATCTCATGGTAATGAATCATAAATTTTATAAAACTCCTTATTTCTAATCCCATGAGGGGCAGTTACACATTTAGATGAGGTTTCCACACACACCCCTAAGTTATCAGCTAGTTCTCAGTCAGCACACTTAAAAATGAACCCCAAGTTTTTATCTTTTAGCATCTCCCCTTTTTCCAACAAAATCTTGCTACATTTTCCTAAAATTTATTTAAGAAAAGAAACACTATTTTGTTTACCTATATTTTATATCCTCACCTACCTCCAAAACAATTTGCAGAGATCAGACCAGTGAGTGAGATCACTTTTGAACCTATTAGTCCTTTTCTAGATTTAAGGTACACTCATTACAGGAAGTGACATGGACAGAGGAAACAGGTTCTTGTTGGTGTTGGTTATGGTGGGTTTTTAAGGAAGTGAGTGAAGCAGCAATACACTGCCTCAGAATGACCACAAAGAGTATTTGGTAAATATAACCTTCTCATTAAAACCTGGCTACCCAGCTGTAGTGGGCACACAAACAGTGTAATTTCAGGCACACATGAGGAGTCTGAAGAGATTCATACACAGCTTTTGCCCCCTACACACATTTTTAGAGACCTGTTTAAGAGAATAAGCAGAAAGAGATTATCCCTGTTACTTTTACATAGCAAAGATACCTAAACAACGTAATGCCATGCAAATAAGGAAACGATTATCTGAAGCATCCATTTGCCACAAGCCTGCTTATATCTCTGAAGGTTTGGCACAGGTGCCTGATATATACTAAGAGCTCAGGAAATATCTGATGAATATATGACTGAATGAAATACAAGGCAGTGATGAAAATGTTTTTCAAGAATATTTAATGGAATGAGGAAATACACTCATACTATTCTATTAAGTAGAATAAGCAGGATATAAAACAGTATATACAGCATGATGTTATATTTTCAAAAATAGTAAAAAGACTGAAAATACACTAATGTTATTCATCAATAATAGTTACTGTTAGTTGATTTATCAGTAATTTTTCTTTGCTTAGTTGATTTAGCAATAATTTTCCTTATTAATATTTTTCAAGTTTTTAAAAACAATAATCATATATTGTGATTACAATTAGAAAAAAGAAACAATCAAACATGTCTTTTTTTTAAAAGCTGTACTGGAAAATTATATTCCTATTTCTTGAATGAATGATTTGTATTTCAAAGTCAGCTAAACTATGACTTGTTTAAAATCAATTCATTTGTGCTGGCTGGTGTAACTCCATTCACATACAGTACCTTAAGGTAAAGGGTATTATACAAATGAATTCTCACAGCTGTTTCACCACACTAGACAACTGAGTTAAGGGTATGTTAGCACAAGCTTCTAAACATAATGAGAGCGACATTAATCTCCAAACGCCTTACATCATTAGGAATATAAAAACATTTATTTTCTGGTTTTCCACATTCACAAAATAACCATTTACTTACTCATATTGATCTAAGTTGTTTGATTTCTTTCCTGTAACATAGTTACTTGGGATATATCCTTCACTCCTAGAAAATAAAAAAATACTTCAGGTAAACTAAAATTATTTATGAAGAAGTTATTTTAAAAATGATTGCTTTTCTGAAATAACTGAAGCATAATATTGCCAAATCTTATAAAAAAAAAGACTAGCTAATTTCCCACAAGGTATGTTTGTCAAGTTGGAGGATAAATTATATTTTACTTATGTTTGTCATCTTAACTTATAACTTCTAAAATTTAAATGTATTCTATGAGGGTTTCCAGTTGTAATTTTCTAAGGCTCAAAAATATTAGAGGAAAACCTACAGATTACACATTTTTAATTATTTTTAAGTTTAATAATATGGCAATTGTTTGACTTTTTTTAAGATTTATTTTATTTATTTATTCATATAAGAACTGAGATGTAGGCCAGAGGTGTAAGGGGTGAGAGAATTCACCAGAGACAGAGTGGGGAGTATCGGGTGAGACAGGAGAAGTCTGCTGCACCATGTGGGTTAGCTCCCTGACCAGGGATCAAACTCATGCTGCAGTGGCTGGTGATAGCTTAATTGCACTGACACATGAACCCCTGTGCCACCACGGAGGTCCCCTATGGCAATTGTTTTAAAATAGTTGCTTGTAGTTAGACTGAGGAGTAAATGACATGGTGACTTAAATTTATGTATAAATACTCCAGAAGCAGACAATTGGGAGGATTGGTAAATCAAGACTGACAAAATGTTACTAATTTTTTGTGGGAGTGATGGGAGGCTCCATTATACTATTACATACTTTTGTGGATGTTTGAAACTTCTATAATCAAAAATAATAACAGATAGCCTTCATTGTTTGGCAAAGAGAGTCAGTGACAAACAACATAGTATAAAAGGATCAGAGTTCCCAAGAAGGCAATAATGTACAAGCCAGCACACAGCAGATGTGGCACTGCTGAGCAGTAAGCAGAACAGAAGGACCCTGTCCAAGGCAGAGGCTCCTATTGCTTCTCCAGAAGTAACTGAGGAGAGAGAACTGGAATTAAGGAAGCAGAGGGGAGGTGAGAAAGAATGCTCAGAAAGAGAAATATGTACTAGCCAGATATAAATCTTCCTCTTCCTATTCATGGGGAATCAGAATATAAATGGGATTAAATTTCAGAGATAAACACAGATTAGTTTCCTTAATGACCTAAAAGATACTTTATCTTTTCACACTTTCTGAATGACCTAAAAGATACTCATGTTTATTCATAAATACCCATTATTTACCAATAATATGGTTGAAAGGACTGTTCCCTTTAAATCCTAAATTACCTTTTTTTTTTTTTTAAATATTTATTGATTGATTGATTGATTGATTTATACATATATGCATACAAGCACTGGGTACAGTCAGAAGCGTGGGAGGGTGAGAGAATTCACCAGAGCCAGAGCGGAGAGCAGAACAGGCAGAAGGACCGAAGCACACTGCTGAGGGGAGCAGCAGGCGGCAGGAGAGGTCTGCGCGCCATCTGGGACCCTCCTCTGGTGGCCGGGGAGCAGCCGGGGATCGAACCGGCGCCTCAGAGGCCGCGGGCAGCTTCGCAACCCAGCGCTCAACCGCTGCGCCACCGGGGAGGCCCTAAATCCTAAATTACCTTTTATATAAACAGTGCTTTTTAATTTCTCATGTGTGTATGTATATATTTTATATACACACATGCACATACACACACTCTCTGTCTTAGAAAAGTCTAACATTAATTACTTAACTCAGGGAAAACATAAAATGTTATTTCCCCAAGGTCAAAATAATCCAATTAAATGTAAGTGGATGAGAAAGAGGCAATGTAGTATATTCTGATTTCTGGAAAGAAGTGATTGATTCATTTATATGTTCATTGAGTCACTGCTGAAAAACCATGGTGTTACTGCAAAATAAGACTACAGGCTTCCATTTATGACTGGTTGCACTAGTTTCACTACACCATAGGTACAGATCATCCTGTTCTCAGCACTTTCTTCTCACCCATCCACTGTGCATTTCACATCGAGAGGGGCACTTACCCGTATTTGTCTCTTGCTCTCCACCAGTGAATGTCATTCTTTTCTAATATGATATACTCTTGGCCTCTCTCTAATCTGAGGTCATGTGCTTCTGTTGCTTGGAAATCATACATAGCTACAACTATTTCTTCACTATTATCTTCTTCTTCAGGTGGAATTGGGGGGGGAGGCCTTCGCTAAGAAAAGGAAATAATGTGAAAGTTCAGCCTTTCATTTGAAATGGAGTACGAAGTAAAATTCTAAACGATTCCCCAACATCCTGGAGTACAGTAGAAACCTCCCCTAAATTCACGTGGAGAATATGCCTATGAGTTTGCTGATGTTGATACTATATGTGTGTAGACACCAGGACTGAAGGAAAGCCACTCAGAGGGCCTGCAATGGGGGAAAAACTCACTATGCAGTGGAGTCTTCTATCAGGTCTCCTCCCATTCAGAGAGATTTGCAGTTCTCTGGGCTTACCGTGTGTAAGGCACACCTTAGTTTCAAGCACACTTTTTCTAAATATTGATCCATAAAGTATATAATTCCACAATGGCTGAAGCAACCTACCTGAAGTCATTCATATCAGATCCTGTATGAGCCTAAAACAAATGTGTTTGCCATTATTCCCCATCCTTCAAACACATATCATCAATCACTGAAGTCACTCCTTTGTCACCAGAGTGTGACCTTAAGACTGGAACATACGTTGAAAGTCCCACACTTCTTACACAATTCTTTAGGCAAAAATACAGCCAAATGCCAGATGATGAGAAGGCCCTCCCTGACTGATACTATCTGATGCAATTCAATTGATTATTATTTGACATCAAGAAAAAAAATTTTAAAAAGTCATGTATCTGTTTCTGATACACTCCTAGGAAAAGCAGCATCACATAAATGAAAATAAGCAGAACAATAAGCTGCAAGTGTTTCCAAAAGTTAAAGACCCCCTACCTTCTTTGTTTCTGGTGCTGGAGGCAGTGCTTTCCTTATACCTGAAAATGGCAATAACAAAAACAACTAAAGAAACATAAACTTATGGCTGCAGAATAAATTCAGAATAAGATAAATGCAAATAAAACTTAAAAACAACAACAACAGCTAAAAGCTATGGAGGCAAGGAACTCTTATGTACTGCTTGTGGGAATGCAAACTGGTACAGCCACCATGGAAAACAGTGTAGAGGTTTCACAAGAAATTAAAAATTTCTTTGATATAAAATTTCTTCCATATGACCTAGCAATCCACTTCTAGGTATATAGACAAATAGAATGAAATCATCTCAAACAGATGTCCATACACCCATGTTAATAGCACCACTATCCACAATAACCAAGGAATGGAAATAACCTAAGTGTCCATCAACAAGAAAGTGGTTAAAGAAAATGTGGTGTACATATACAATGGAATATTATTTAGCCTTAAAAAAAAAAAAAAAGAATGAAAGGCCTCCCCAGAGGCCCAGCGGTTGAGCTCTGGGCTGCAAACCTGCCCGCAGCCTCTGCAGTGCCAGTTGGATCCCCGGCCACCGGCGAGGGTCCCACATGGCGCACAGACCTCTCCGGCTGCACCCGCTGCTCCCCTCAGCAGTGTGTTTCGTCAGTCTGCCTGTTCTGCTCCCCACTCTGACTCTGGTGAATTCTCTCACCCTCCCACACTTCTGACTGTACCCAGTGCTCGTATAAATAAATAGATAGATAGATAGCTAGATAGATAGATAGCTAGATAGATAGATAGATAGATAGATAGATAGATAGATAGATAGATAGATAGATATTTTTTAAAAAAAGGAATGAAATCCTGTCATTTGTAATAAAATGAATGAATGTGGAGGACATTATGCTAAGTGAAATAAACCAGAAAAGAACAAATACTGCAAGGTATTATGTATACATGGAACCTTTAAAAAAAAGAAAAGTCAAACTCAGAAAAAGAGAGCAGAAAAGTAAAAAAGTGAAAAAAGGGAACAAAATTTCATTTAAAATCAAATAAGGCTCAAGTTCTAATGATTAACATGGTGACTATAATTGCTTACACTGTGAAGTATAATTAAAATGTACTGAGAATAGGACTGAAGTGTTCACATAAAAAGAACAGGTAAACAGGTGAGGTGACAGATGTGTTAACTAACTCGATGAGTGGAAACTTTTCACAATGCATAAGTATATCAGGTTGCACACTTTAAGTATCTTATAATTTTGTCAATTATATCTCAAAAAGCTGAAAAAAATTAAGAAGAAAAAGTTGCTTAATAGGATCACACTTTCAATAGAGTCATTAGCAGGTTTCCATATTGTGATAAAAGCTCCTGAAAATAAATGTGATTCCATGAGACAGTCCCACTGCTAATAAAATGTAATTATTTTTACAAAAATACATTTATGTTGTACTGAAAAGTATGAAAGCCACACTTTACTAAAATCACAATCATGTCACTTTCACACCAATAATATGTACATCCTTCATACAATATAATTATGGAATAAAATGAATACTTACTACTCTCAAAAAGATTATATTTTTCACACCCAGGTGCAAGTTTTTCAGTTTGTCTGCAACACTGATAACTTCCATCTGTCCAGAATTTAGGATGATATTTAATCATAATATCATTGTTGTTCTTTATTTCTGTAATTCACATACATTAAATGATGAGTGAAATCAAAAGACAACAGACTATTTTATAAGTAACACTGTCGATCATGCCTTATCCCTCAGATACCGAGTTTATTCTGAGAACAAGCTAGCATTTAAAAAGTCACATGGGACCTCCCTGGTGGCGCAAGGGTTTAAGCACCACACTATGAAGCAATCCGCAGCCTCTGCAGCACAAGTTCAATGCCCGGCCGGCCAGGGAGCAACCCACATGACACTGCAGACCTCTCCTGTCTTGCCCAATGCTCCCCTCAGCAGTGTGTTTCAGTCAGTCTGCCTGCTCTATTCCTCTCTCTGTCTCTGGTGGGTCCTCTCATCCCCCACATCTCTGGCCTGTACCCCAGCTCTTGTATGCATAAATAAATAAATCTTTAAAAAAAAAAAAAAAGTCAGGGCCTCCTCTAGTGGCGCAGTGGTTGAGTACTGGGCTGTGAGGCTGCCCGCAGCCTCTGCAGCGCCAGTTCATTCCCTGGCCACCGGTGAGGGTCCCATCAAAAAAAAAAAAAAAAGTCATATGGTTCTCACTCATCTGCTTTTTGTGTTGTTTTGGTGACACACCTGTGTACAGAAGTGACCTCTGCTACACTGTGATGGAAACACACAAAGTCAGCCCAGCACTACTCTGCTGCAGAGGTAAGGACTGTGCAGGACAAATCATCCACATGAGTACTTTATGCAAGAGTCAATCCATCCCCAGCAAATGTTGCCATTACACAGGCAATTCCTTAGAAAATAGCAAATCTGATTATCATAAAAGTCCAGTGCTTTATCATTTTCAAATGTTTTATACATTAAATGAAAACATCCTTTTCTTAGAAACCGTATTTATGTCACTTGAAGGAATCTAACTTTTTTAAAAGGAAGTTATCTTCAGTTTGTAACACTTACAGTAACAAAATGTCCTTGGAGAAATACATGCTGTAGATTAAAAGATTATAAATGCACAAAACATTGACTATATTTCTACTTTAGTGATTACAACGTATCGTAAAATGATATACAGATTAATATTTTACTGTACGAATTTTACCTTCTTTTAACTTCTTCACCCACCGGTCTCTGCTTTGTAGAGTAGGTGCAAAAATGTAAAGTGTGTTAGCATCATAAACAACCTAAAACAAAACAAAAGATGAAATAGGAACAGGTAAGAAATACTTAGGCACAGCACCACTGACCAGCACAGAACCTCCATATGACAGACACCACTGAAGGATTATAATGACTTATGCAGTTATTTCAGATCTAAAGAACCAAGAATTCTTCTTTAGAAAAGCATATCTATTTCTTCATGTCCACATACATTGGGATACACATTTTATAGAGACTGTGTTTTCATAGAAAAAAAGAAAGACATACAGAAACCTGGATGCTTCCTTAATCTTGTTCTTTCTGGCAACCTAATGAACTAAATTCTAACCAATATCTAGATTCTAACTAAAATCTATTTAAGGTTTTTAATAAATTTCCTATAACAGGGATGATTATAGCCCCTTACTGTTCTGAATATCTTATTTTAAAGATTTATTTTATTTATGCATACAAGAACTAGGGTATAGGCCAGAGATGTGGGGGGTGAGAGGATTCATCAGAGATTGAGGAGCATAACAGGCGGATCCACTGAAATACACTGCTGAGGGGAGCAGAGGGCGAGACAGGAGAGGTCTGCTGCGCCATGTGGGTTGCTCCCTGGCTGGCCAGGAATTGAATTCGTGCTGCAGTGGCTGACAATTGCTTGATAGCGCTGTCTTTAACCCCTGTGCCACCAGGGAGGCCCCTGAATAATATTTTTAGACAACGAATTACTCTTTCAGTATCGCTCCTATGCCCTCCTTTTGCACCATGAGCAACTGCAGCAGCTAACTTTACTGAGCACCGACTGTCCCAGACCTGTGCTATGAGCTTTCTATACATTAATGCAATTAGTCCTACCACCAAGGTACCACCATTTGCATTTCACAGAAAAGGAGGCTAAGGCCTAGCCTCAGCCCCTTACCCCACCCCCACTCCTGTAACACACCATTCACACAGAAGGTGTGGCAAATGTTGCCTCCTAATTCTGTGCTGGTACCTCACCTGTCCTTCAGCACTTGGCTGCTAATCCAGGACACCAGGGTCTGACTTCAGAGCCCAGCTTTTTTGCCCCAGTGCCTATTTTAGAGTAACTGCTGGTGAGCAATTTAGCAGATATTTTTATTAATAATACTTTAAATTTATTTAAATTTAAGCCTCAGAAACCAACCCAAGAATTCAGTCTTTGGTTTGTCATTTAACCCTTGATGGTCAGTAGCAAGGCAGAAATATCACTGACTAAAAAGAAGTACATGGGTAGAAACCTCCCTTCTCCATATCAGTAGCCACCAGGTTGAACACAAATATCTCTTTCATCGATCAATGACTGTTCCTGATCTTACTCAACAGCTTATTCTATCCTATTCACTTTAATCAATTATCAGTCAATAAATGCAGCCTAACGGCAATGTTAACAATAGTATGTAGTCTGTTCAATGACTTGATCAGCCATCTTACCACTTTGGTGGGACTATAAAAGATAAAAAAATAAATCAAGCGAAAAGACTGTTTCCAAGACAAGTTTAGAAATGTCTAAATACAAGACAGAAGTGAGACATGGTATCGGAGAGGTGGAGAGAAAGTACGAAGAGGGATGTGGGGAAAGAGGTATTTGGTCTGTGATTTTTCACCCCTTAGCCAGGTTCATTCATGAAAACTGTACAGAAGAATTAGATTAAAATGCGTCACAAAACAGGTCATCTAAATTGATACTGAGGTGTTCAGAATAGACTGCCAGGGCTTTGAAGCTTCCAGGAACTGGGTGTTATCATGATAGCAATTTACTTTATTATTATAACTTACTTTATTGAGTGTTCACATCGGGCTAGGCATATGATACGCACTGCATCGCTTCATTCATACAATGGCCCACATCCCTTATTACATTGTAATCCTCATTTTCCAAATGACAAAACAAAGCAAGTGAGGTTCAGTCACCTAAGTAGGGGTTCTATGGTCCCAAAAGTCTCTTCGTATTCATGTGTTTCCTCCAAACACCCTCCTGCTCCCTTCTAGATGGTGATGTTCAGGCTCTAGTATAACTTCTCAAAACTAACTCACATCAATACCACGAACTTTGTTAAAGTTTGTTAAAGATTAGCTAATCAGAAGACAACTAATTCAACTCAGAGTTTTGATGGTATTTGCATTTCTCCAAGAAATTTCTAGAAATATTGGTCTAAATAAATCCAAGTAATGAACATCTAATTTGGCCATTTGAGTAGTTTGGCAGGCTGGTGGGAGAGATGTCCAGGGTCCTTCTTCAGCAAAACCCGTATCACACCACACAGACCAGCGTCTGCATCACCACCATGAAGTGAGATGGAGTGAATGAGGGGAGTCACGTTCTCCTTTGGCTCACACCTGGTGAGTCAAACTATCACAACAGAGGTTGCCGAGGAGGAAGAGGTCTGCACACCTCAAGGCACAGAAGTCATTAAGGAGGAAATAGCCTCTCCTTTAGTAACACAACTAACTTCGTAGTTACTTTCCCTCCTGTTACATCTGCATTTACTCACTCATTTATTCAATAGACTTTTAATGAATGCACTGTAGGAGAAACAGCACAGATGTTATATAATGACAGATCTGGATTCAAAACCCAGGAAATGCCATTCCCTGGGGAACCACCAGCTGCCATCAGAAGCAGCAAGAGATATTCCACGAGGCAGCTGGTTCTTCCCTATTTACTCCATCCCTTCCTGTGGCTATAATACGTTGGGAGAGGAAGCAATCTCCTTTTTTGCTCTTAGTGTTTTTTAAAATGTCCACTTCTTCTTTTTTTGTTTTTGTCTTGCATATGACCCTGCTGCATACTTTCATTGTGAAGATGTGAAACCAGGACCTACACTTTTTTAAATTATACCTAGGTTATAATAAGAAAGGCTATTTTTCATTGTTCAAGTCTGGTTGGTTTAAATGACAGTTAAAGCTCGGTTTATTTGTTCTGAATTTTTAAGATTGTTTTTGAACTTTTCTATATTCATGCATTGTTAACAATTAAAAATGGTTCAGGGCTTTGAAACATCCAGAGATAGAATGCTCTTTGTTCCCCTGTTTTTATCATCATTCTTAAAATCAAATCAGGGTGAACAGAGTGGATCTCTTTCTCATGGACAGCAGAAATCTTCATTCTGGTTCCAGAATCAAAACACCCATAGCTCCCCACAACCACCTGCCCCCTCAAAATGCCTAACAGCCATCAGAAGTATGGTAGGAGTTGTTCTCTGCTAAACAGCAAATGAAATTACAGGCCCTCATTAATATGCACTCAACATACTCAATCAGGATTTCAATTGGGTTTACTCAAGATCTGGGTGGTAGGCAGCAGGAAGAGAGAAACAACAGAAATAGTGACTAACACCTTGCCCTCGCTGTGTATCTAAGTTGTCTAACCCTCGCAACACCGCATGAAGTGAGTACCATTAGTGTTACTATTCTCATTTCTATAGAAGAGAAAACACAAAATGCTATTAAGTGACCTGCACAAGGTCACAGATTGCCACAAGGGTGTGGCAATCAGCCACGTGGCCTTGGAGCCACCTCCTTAAGCACCTCACTGGGCCTGCTTTTCACTCAGAGAAGAGGCAGCTATAAAATGAGGGATGGGGGTGGGAGGCAGAAGGAAAATTAAATGTAGTTCTTCCTTCCATTGTGTGGTGGTCACCATTTCCTATTATGGAAAATAACCCAGATGCAGCTCTAAAGCTTGAATATCTTAACCTACTGCTTCCAAGTCATTTTAATGCACAAAACTGGTAATTAAAAACAATCAAATTCAAAACAATCAAAACTTCACTGTGATACTATGTTAAAAAACAAAAAAAAATTTTGAATACTTTCCCCTTAAGATACAGTAAGACCATCCCCATGGGTATAAGGTCACTGGCACCAGAGAGGTTCATTGCTCAAAGGAAAGCGTGAAAACATCCTCACCTGGAGAAGGGGAAGATAGGTCCTGGGTTGTCTGCTGAGGGTCTGGAACACCAGGCTTCAACCTTGCACTCCTGACTTCTCAAGATAAGTGTGCACAGAGATGGTGTCCCCCACCCCCGGCTCCCCCAGCACACCCCCCCCACAATGGCTACAGAGTGGCTTGTGCCACACTGACCCATCTTGGAAGGAGATGTGAGTGCATGTTCTAAGGAGGCTTTGGATTCAAAGTGACCTTGGACAAGTCACAATATATCGAGCCTCAATTTTCATAGTCATAAATAAAAACTGTGTATTTGGAAAAGAATAACATGATAACCTTTGTGTGAAAGTACGATTTCATCAATACATAATGCTAATATTTTATTTGGCATCACAGATGTTTAATCTCACTTCTGTTCAAAATTCATTCCTGCCCCTTCTCAGTTTCTCAAATTCACAGAGAACACTTCAGTCCCAACCCTCATTTCCTCTCCTGCTGTTCTGTGATAAATCTGAATAGTAGCAATTAGGTCTGGGGTTTATAAACTCAGGACATTGGTAGAATCTAACAGACAAAACCAAGAATAAGATAAAGTTTCAGCCAAGACAAACAGTTCATTCAGAAAAGTAAATACTATGAAAGCATAAATGAACCTAAAAATCAACCACCATGTGATGCAGAACCCTACTTCTGGGAATATGTCCAAAAAAAATAAAAATGGATCTTGAAGAGATATATGTATTCTTGTGTTCATTAAGCATTATATACAGTAGCCAGACAGAGAAACAATATAAATATCTGTGGACTGATGAATAAAGTACAGTATGTATACATGCAATGAAATATTTTTTTAAAGATTTATTTATTTATTTGTTTGTTTGTTTATACATACAAGCACTGGGTACAGTCAGAAGCGCGGAAGGGTGAGAGAATTCACCAGAGTGGGGAGCAGAGCAGGCAGAAGGACAGAAGCACACTGCTGAGGGGAGCAGTGGGCGGCAGGAGAGGTCTGTGCGCCATGTGGGACCCTCCTCTGGTGGCCAGGGAGCAGCCGGGGATCAAACCGGCGCTGCAGAGACTGCAGGCAGCTTCGCAACCCAGCACTCTACCGCTGCGCCACAGGAGAGGCCCCATGCAATGAAATATTATTCAGTTCTTTACAAAGGAGGAAAATCCTGCTATTTGTTGCAACATGGACTAATACGGAGGATATTACCCTAAGTGGAATCTAAAATGGTCAAACTCATAGAGCAGAAAACAGAATGGTGACTGACAGAGGTAGGGGAAGGAACTGGGGAGATATTGGGTAAAGGGTACAGAGTTTCAGTTCTGTAAATTGAATGAGTTCTGGAGAGCGAATGTACAGCATGGTGATTACATGAACAACACTGTACAGTACACTTGAAATTTGCTAAGAAGGTAGATTCTGTTTTTACCACACACATGAAACAAAGAAAAGGGTAATGATCAAGTGATGAATATGTTAATGTGTTTGTAGTGGTCATTTCATATTTTATCAAGCATTAACTGAATACCTTAAATACACATAATTCCTACATGTCATTATACCTCAATAGATTTGAAAAAAAATCAAAAATGGACCAGCAAGGTAATGACAGGAAACTGTAACATCAAATAGTTAAGTATAACTAAAAGCTCAGAATTATACTGTTGCAAAAAATATGGCAGGGCCTCTCCCCCCTGGTGGCGCAGGCAGTTGAGCACCATGCAGTGAGGCTGTCTGCAGCCTCTGCAGCGCCAGTTTGATCCCCGCCAGCCGGCCGGCGAGGGTCCCACATGGCGCAGCAGACCTCTCCTGTCTCGCCTGCTGCTCCCCTCAGCAGTGTATTTCGTCAGTCTGCCTGTTCTGTTCCCCGCTCTGGCTCTGGTGGATCCTCTCACCCTCCCACGCATCTGGCCTATACCCCGGTTCTTGTGTAAATGAATAAAAAAATCTTAAAAAAAAAAAAATTTGGCAGCTCACCTGAAATGGATATTTATTTTGACAGGGGATGACACCATCATCATTCTTTACTATTTCCACACACTTGATCTTTGAAACATCAATAAATCCCTTTCTGTTTTTTTTCTGTTAAAAGAAAAAAGGGCGGAGAATCATTATAAGCATAAGATATTAAAAAATGCTACCAATAGTAACATTGATTAATGAAATCATTGATTCAAAATATTACAATTTCTATGATTACTTACATCGTGCCTCTTTTTATGGCTAAGATTGTCCAAAATACTAATACTGCAAGAATTATAATCAAAATAATCAATTCCTTTAATTTCTAAAGATAAAATTATTCTTTGTCCTTACCCCCAAAATCTCTAGAACAGAGAAACTGCTCCCTCTTGTTGTCACTGACACTTCTCAGACACACACACCTTTCTCTCTCAACTCTAGATGACAATCCCCCAAAAGATCACACCAAGCAAAACTCCATGGACTCAATCACAAGTGCAAACTTCAGCCAGTTACATTTTCCCCTCCACACAGAACTCAGGCGACCATGAGGTGGAAAGCGCAGGATGCGCACATGAAGCCTCCAGTCAGACTTACTGAACGTTTTCCTTGTCTTACCTATTGCCCGCCCCCACCACACACACACTGCAAATCTCCATGGGCAATTAACTAAACACATCAAGACATCTCTTACTCCAAATCATCCACACCCCTGGACACTGTAACCTCATACCTGAGAATTTATCCCAGGAAATAATCAAGAAAAATACAGAGCAGCATGTTAAAAGACAACTTGATATAATACATTAATTAAAAATTATTACAACTGGGCCTCCCCGGTGGCGCAGCGGTTGAGCGCTGGGTTGCGAAGCTGCCCGCAGCCTCTGCGACGCCGGTTCGATCCCCGGCTGCTCCCCGGCCAACAGAGGAGGGTCCCACATGGCGCGGAGACCTCTCCTGCCGCCCGCTGCTCCCCTCAGCAGTGTACTTGGGTCCTTCTGCCTGCTCTGCTCCCTGCTCTGGCTCTGGTGAATTCTCTCACCCTCCCGCGCTTCTGACTATACCCAGTGCATGTATGAACAAAACAAACAAACAAACAAATAAATAAATAAACATGCCTCTATAAAAAAAATTTTTACAAGTACAATGTAGAAATAAATGTTTACTGGATAATAGTAACTGATACACAAAAAGCTGTGTAAAACTAAGAGGGTGTTGTTTTGGGATGGGGGGAGGCGATATTTACACAATAGAGAATAGAAGGGAAAAGAGAGAAATAACATTATTCTTGCTCTTGGAGTGACCCAGCCATCCCCTATCCCTGATGATTCAAATTGCTTCAATCTAATACTACAAACCTCCCTCCAGCCACAACCTTGTGACCCCTTAACCACTCCCAGGATCCTGCTCGGCAACCTCACTGTCACTATGAGACCTTCAGAAGCAACCATTCTGTTAGGGTCTCAGCTTCCATGTGACATCTCATTAGACCTGGCTACCACTTTACCAGTGCATCTCTCTCTCTCTCTCTCTCTCTCCTGCTCTCTCTCTTCTTACCCATGCATGAACACCACATCCCCTAACCTTTCGATCAGCCTCTCTGTCCACACTTTTCCAACCCTCTGCCTGACTGGCTTCAGAAGTCACCTGTCTGTTCTACCCTTAGCCAGATCTTCACTCTTATTCCTCAATTTTTTTGTGTATCTCTAGTGGAAAGAACACAGGGGCCTCTATGGAGACCACCAGTCACATCAGAACAACACATCATTCCCAGCACCCTGATCCCAGCGGACAATCTCCCTCACACCTTTATGGAGAAGAGAGGGGCCATCCTCTGGGTATATCCCCAACTTCTCCCTCCTGAAGGTCAAAAGCACTCTAAGAGTTACCCTTTTTTCTTCTCTTTTATCCTGACTCTAAGGGAAAGTTAAAAAGACACAGTTGGCACTTACATGTTATTTTAATTATGCTGACAAAATTCCCCTCATTTAACAGATGAGGGAACTGTAGTTCAGACAAGTTAAACACATTATCTCCGGCCCCCAACTAAGCACACTAGACCCTGGGACACCCAGTTGCAAAATGGTGGCGGAATCCCTGAATCATGTCCTGAGCAGACAAACAGGATTCTGAGCATGGACCGATCTGCAGCCAGAATAGGAGAGGGACATTCTCCCCTGCCATTCTCTTCTACATGACTTCACTCTCCAGGCACATTCAAGCCTTTCCCACTCATACCAAGAGGCTTCTTCTGAGCCTACTACTGCCCTAATTCTTTACTTTTCTTCCTAAAAGAGAAGCTGAATACACCCCCAGTCTTCATTTCCTTCCACCCACTCTTCCTTGACCACTTGCAATCTGCCTCCCACCTCACCACAGCCTGCTAACGCTGTTCTCAAAAACATTGCCCATAGGGCCTCCCCTGGTGATGCAGACGGTTGAGCACAGCACTGTGAAGCTGTCCACAGCCTCTGCAGCGCCGGTTCAATTCCTGGCCGGCCAGGGAGATTCCCACATGGCACTGCAGACCTCTCCTGTTGCACCCACTGCTACCCTCAGCAGTGCTTTCGGTCCTTCTGCCTGTTCTGCAACCTGCTCTGTCTCTGGTGAATTCTCTCACCCTCCCGCTCCTCTGGCCTGTACCCTAGTGCTTGTATAAATAAATAAATCTTTAAAAAAATAATATTTGCAAAGTGCTCAGAAGAGTGTCTGTCCCACAGTGTGGTATCTGGTTTGCTACATAAAATAAAGTGGCAAAAACAAAAAACAAACAAACAAAACCAGCTCTGTAAAAGCACAGGAGGTAGGAAACGGTATGTAAAGGATCTAGGACACGTTGCAAAGAGACCTGGTCAGCTAGCTCCCCCTTGCTCCTAGGGCTACACCAATTAATGGAAAGAAGAAAGTGCCAGGGTTCCATCCTCCTATTAACAAGTCACACAAGTTCACTGCAGAAACTTTAGGAAACACTAATAGCACAGAGCATCAGATTACCCTTACTCCCCTAACCCTGAGGAAAATCACTATTGACATTATGGAGTCTTCGAGACACTGCTCTCGGGGGTCCTTTATCACCCACCAGCTCTCTTAGCCTAGAGCAGCAGAGTGTGGTTTGCTTCCAAGACACCCGACTACACCATCACCTGCCTCCGCAGATGTCAGTGCAGGTCAAAGTATACAGGAAAATTAGGGATAGCTTGTACACTTGGGTATACCTTGTATAGTTGGGGGTCTTGCCCCTAAGTTCATGTTCTGTGATATGTAGTCTATTCATGTACTGTACTGAAATTTAGGTTTATTACTTCAAATATCTAAGTTTGGAGGGAAAGTTTCAATTTAAGTTGTCTGTTCATCATTGCATCTTTCCACCAGCAAGTGTGGGTAAGACACCAAGCAAGGTGCTATGTGCCAGAGCTCCAAAGCTATGGAAGGGGCTGTTCACAGTCATATGGTGGGTAAAGAGGAAGAGGGGATGAATCACAATCAAATAATGACGAGGTGACATGCAATCATGGTGTCCTATGGATAGGGTGGTGACTGGGACAGAAGTTGGGGATGTTTCAGGGAGGAAGTGATATTTTAAATTGTTCTTTTAAAGGATAAGTAGGAGACTTCTAGTAGAGAAAGTAGAGAAGTGAGTTTCAGCAAAAGCAGCAAAGCACTAATTTAGGGAACAGAAAGAAATCACTATGGCTGAAGTTTAGGATGGGTCAGGGGAAGTGTAGGAATGGCACCAAAAAGTTTATCTGAAACCAAATTAAGAAGATGCTTAGAGACCATGTGCAGGAATTTAAATTTATCCTAAGGGATTCTAAGTGGAAGGTAAGTAATACTTCATTAAGGTATTTCTCCCCCAATTGGAAAATAAGTTCTATTAAGATCTCACCAGCTGCACAGACTGTTGGTGACATTAAACACCTTCTTCCTTTGCAGTTCAGTTTTCTTAAGTGGCCCAATCTTATAGATCTTCTTGTTGATCTCAATGTGATGATGATAGCCTTTCTCCCCAGCCAGGGCCACAGAGAAGACCACTCAGCTGGATACTAGGTACAGTCAACTTTGCGTAGCCCTCGGCGGGTCTTGCGGGGCAATTTCTCAGTGTGCCAGAGGCTGGTGACCCCTTTGTAGCTCTTGCCCCTGATACCCCAATGACATCAATCCTCTCCTGGTCAAACACTTGGTTCATGGCGACCTGATGCTCCAGTTGCTTGGGGGCCCAGGTAAGCTTTTAGGCCATCGTGCCTCCATGCATCTGGATCTCCAAAAGATGGGCCTTTTTCTGGTGCAGAAGCAACAGGCACATCTGGTGCGGGGGATGACAAGGATGACCCAACAGTACTTCTCCATATTGCCTAACTCCTTCTCCAGCTGCCTCTTGCCATCTTCCTCCTGTCACTTCTTGCAGTATTTGGTGAAAGCCTTCTTCTTAGATTTAGGTCAGTTCTTATTGAAACGTCTTTTGCACTCATCACTGATATGCTCAGCATAGATGATCTTAAAGGAAACAGAGGCCCCAAGGGGTTTCCACATAGCCCACAATGCCCACCAACACCTTGGGTAGTGTCTCCACAATGGTCACAGCCTTCTCAACTGCAGTCTTATTCACCCTGGATCCTGGCCTATCCATCTCCTGAACAATGTGGGTCATGCAAGCATTATAGCCCAGGAAGGCTGTGAGGTTGACAGACTTGATGATTCTGCCATCTTCCTTTCATCTTAACTTTCCCATGTTGCTGGCTGCTGTGCTTCTGAGGCAAGAAGCCAAAAGATCCATGTCTGGGAGTGGAGAACTTCCTTTGATAAGAGCCACCAGTAGAGCATATTGAGGGATTTTTGAAAAGATAATCATCAGTGATCGTGTGACAAGTGGGTGGACACAGGGAGGCTAGCCAGGAGGCTGCTGCAACACCTCAGGTGAGGGCAACCAAGCCTGTGAAGCCAACAATGGCAATAAATAAGATGAGGAAAGTGAGGAAGTCAGAGTATTAAGAGGTAGCATCCATAAAATTTTGTAAAGAAGGGAGCCTTGGGGATTTTGCATTTGAGTTATGAGGAGACACTAATACCATGCAGCATAAGACAGAGAATCAGAAGGCAAGGTTGGGAAATGTCATTTGACT